TAATAAAAATAGTTTTTTGAGTATACCTGTATACTGCACATACTCAAATATGGATATGCTTGAAAACTATTTTTTTTTATATATCTATTTTCAACTATATATCTCAAAAACTACTATACTCATCGTATATATATATATATATATAATAGTAGAGTCGTAAAGAATTTAATTATTATGTGACTTCACACAAATTCTACGGAAATTCATTTATCGTTGTAATACAGTAATATAGAAATGTTTTAAATAAAATCAAGATTTTTACTGGATTGTATGCACTGCTCTTACAAATTTGTTAATCGAACAGCTACTTGTTGATCGTTTAAACAAAAATTAAGATTTTTACAAGCTTGTTAATCGAACAGCTACTTGTTGAATGATTATTTACTTAATAAGCATTAGAAAAATATTTTTTTTAATCCAATTTATTAAAAATAAATTAATTATATAGTTAACCAATAGAATTAATTAAAAACTTGCACGTAACAACTAATAGCAACCGATTTATAAAGTTGTTCTAATACATTAGGAATGCTTTACTGTTACCAATTTGGATTCCGATTATTGTATCTAAAAATTTGTGAAATCCAAGTGGGAACCCTCAGGTTTTAACTTGCTGACTTCAATTTATGTTCTTTTCAAGATTCGCTAACTCAAGCGAATGAACCTTTGCTTCACGCTCTCTTAAAGATGGCTCATGTTCTTTTAATGCTAAAAGTCATTCTTGGTATTCAAGTTTATCAACAGTTAAGCTTTTATTCTGGTTACTTTCGTTTGAATCATCAGAATTAATAGTGGTTACTTCAGATTTTTTTTTAGTTTTTTTTGTAATTTTTTTTTTTTTATTTTTTGTAGGTTTGTTTGAAGCTTTTGCTAATCATTTTAAAAAAAATTGAAATAAATAAAATAAAATAAAACAATTAGTTTTTTTATAATTAAGTTATGGTTTACCTCTATGCTTATTCGATAAAACATTGCGACTAATTATGCCTTTGTCTCGTCCATGATTGAGTACATTATATTGTTGATGAATACGAATTGCTGTAAACTTTTTCTTATCCAATTTGCGCCCCCTACATACAAAACAAATTATTATTAATAATAATAAAATGTAATAACTTAAAATAATATAAAAATAAAAAAAAATTTACTGCAAAATAGCACTCATTAATTTTAAACTTTTCCCACACCGATTACTTAAAGCATGAGAGGCTTTGACAATATTCGTATTATCAGGAGATGATTTCCAAATATTACTGTCAATTTGTGATACACAGTTATTAAGGGATGCAATAACCCATTTTTGATGATAAAATGAAACCCAATCTAAAAAAAAAAATTAATCTGTATATACATTAATACGTATTACTGTATAAAATTATTAACCTGTTAAATTTTCTACTTCTTGAATTGTATCAAACAATCAGTTAATTTCATCTTCCGATTTAGCTATGAGCAATGCGAGCATATTATTAGTTATATTATCGTTATATTTTTTTTCTATAATTTTTCTTAATAAATAAAAATAAATATTGTAATTTGCAACAAATAAATATTATAAAGTAAAACAAATTTTATATTTACCTTTTATAATGTAGCTAGCAGGATTTAAATATATAAGTTAAGTGCTCCCAATTTTTTGTTTGATTAATCTCATTTAATACAAGTCCAAGATCTTTCGCCTGTACAAAATCTAGATCTCCTATAATACATCCCCAACCAGTTCCATGAATGTGTTTAAACTGAGGAGACAAGCCAGTTAATTGTGATACAAGATCAAACAATGCATGAAAAATTCTTTGATATGTGATCATCATAGCTTGATTTGTGAAAACTTTAACATAAGTAAGAACTCAATAAAAATTAATATATTAATGTTAATAAATTAGATAAAATAATAATGTAACCAGTTATTTATTTATATACTATATAGATAAATATACTGCAAAAAACATTTGGAGCCTAATTAAATAACTTGGTTGGCTATAACGACTAATCTATACCGTGCACTGTATTTAGTATCTTTTTAAAAAGTATTCACTTTAAACAGTACCACTTTAAATTGCATTAAACAACACAAATGATTAATGTTCTTTTCAATACGTATACTTAGTAAAATGCTAGAAGTTTATTGACGATTATATGTGAGCAGACAAATATCAATTTGAAAAATTGTTTAAATAGGTTAGTCTATACTGTCATGAGTATTTGGAATTTTACCTGAATACTCAAATCGTTACAGACTAACCCAAATGAAATTAATTAAAAAATACAGTCTTTGTATTACTATTGTTAAACAAACTTCTGCTACGAATTAGCCAGAACGATCCCTAAAAGTACTGGTCATATTTTTCAAACCATTGCTCCATAGCTACATACATACATACGTATATCTTAAATAGGCAGTAGTATATTGCTTTGTTATATAATTTGTTTTACGAAAATTTCACTACATGCAGATTCTAGACGATTCAACAATTTTTTAAGAAATTATGACCCATACTTTTGGGTGTTATCTGGCTAATTCTTACTGCTATGCTTCAGATAATTAGTATCAGAACCATATATAAAAAATTAACTACTTAAGTCATGTCTTGTATCATAATTACTAATCTCAAATTCATTAATTTCATCAGCAACCCGTTAAATGATAAATCAACTTGAAAGTATTCATACTTGAACCATTCTAATAGTTGTTCAGAAGTCATACAGATTATTATTATATGATTATCTTCAAAAATTTCTAAAAAAAATAATAATTTATTAAAAATCTTAATTTAAATTTAATACGTACATATAATATATATATCTAATTATTTTATATAATCGCGAATATCATTAATATTGCGTGAATAGTTATAAATAACTCCAAGAAATTTTTGCTCTTGTGGATGGATTTTCTTTTGAATTTTGTCCACATAATATTGAAGATGATCTGCATTATTTAATGATGCGTGTACATTTGCAAAGTATTCACTTCCAAAATAAGTTTTAATCAAATTTCCTGAAATAAGCATAAATTAAAAATTAAAAATTATATATATATATATAAATTTTATAATTATATTAGAACAGGGTGAAACCACATTGCTAGCTAGTAAAATCCGCTATGTAGATCAGGTTAGAGTAAAATCTACAGTTGATTATGTCTTTTATTATATAAAAATAGATTTCACACTTGCGAGTTTCACTCTGTCATATTATATTTATATATATACCAGTTAAAATCCATGTTGGTATAACATTAGTTGCGTTGTCATCAGCTTGGCGGATTAATTCTTGTAAATACATTTTTATAGTAAGTGATACTTGATTAGGTGAAGGTGAAGGATGCAAATGAATACCCTTTGATGCGAGAATTATATATAGACATTGTTTTAAATTATTTGGTATCAGTATGTGATATTTAACATTACAGGCTTTTTAAATCATTTGTCTGTGCTTAATAATGTTGCCAGTATGATGCAGATATGCTATATCAAGAAATATATATATGTAAATTATGTAGATTTATTTAAAAATTTATTAAAAATTAACTTATAACAATGTGTCTTTTTCGAACTATTATGTAAAACTGTAAAACAATCATTTATCAGTTCATCTGATTCACACTAATTGAGATAATAAATATCTAATATTAATAAAATATTAAAGAGTAAAATAGTAAAAGCACAAAAATTTAGCAGTAATATCATCTCTAGTGATAGAACTACAGGAGTAAATGCTATGATCTATTATTGTAGTTTTTGAGATATATAGTTGAAAATAGATATATAAAAAAAATAGTTTTCAAGCATATCCATATTTGAGTATGTGCAGTATACAGGTATACTCAAAAAACTATTTTTATTA